ATCCAATCACCTTCTGTTTTCTGTAGAGTGTCATGTTCATGATTGTAGATCAATGTTAAATAAATCTGACAGTGAATCAGTTTGGCTGCTCGACATCATATTGATTGTTTTAAACATTTAATTAAGTCTATAATTATTCACAATATGGTTATGATTGTTAACCACAACTAAAACCATTTTGAATTGTTTGAAATCAAATAAACATGAACTAACATAAAATATCAGCGAGTTGCCAAGACAGCATTTCTTATTTTTGTTTTGTTTAACTTGAAGTACTAAAATATATACATTTTTGGTAAGGGTCAAAGGTCATCATGCTCCAGGTCACATTACAAGAGTTATTATCATTAACTAAAACATTAAAAACATCACTTGAAATAAAAGTAAACATTACCTCAAATGTATTATATATATATATATATATATATATATATATATTGACATGGCAACATCTTATTTTCATTAAAGTACTAAAATAACTAAAACTGAAATACAAATGAAAATAAAATTATATGCATTTAAAAAAACAAGAACAATAAAAATTTAAAAAACACACAACAAAATTACTAAATTTTTAACTTAAATTAAAATTAAAACCATTAAAAACTATTTTGGATATTTGAAATTAAAAAAACAAAAAACAAAAATTGAAACTTATTTTATTAGAGCAAAATTCCTCATTTGTGATTAACTTAACATGAAGTATTAAAATATCTAAAACTAAAATAAAAACTACATTAACATTTTTTTTTAAACTAATAAAACAAACAAAATTGCTAAACCAAGAATCAAAATATTAATAAAAACTATAAAAAAAAGTATATTAAAGTTAATCTACTAAAATAACACTGATTCATAATCTTATTTTTCTTTTTAATGATGTAATATATACATTTTTGGTAAGGGTCAAAGGTCATCATGCTCCAGATCCCATTACAAGCAGTTATTATCATGAACTAAAACATTAAAAACATCACTTGAAATAAAAGTAAACATTACCTGAAATGTATTATATATATATATTGACATGGCAACATCTTATTTTCAAGTACTTAAATACTAAAATAACTAAAACTGAAATACAAATGAATAAAAACTATATGCATTTAAAAAAACAAGAATAATAAAAATTACAAAAACACACAATTTTTTAACTTAAATTAAAATTAAAACCATTAAAAACTATTTTGGATACTTGAAATTAAATTTAAAAAAAAAATTTAAACTTATTTTATTAGAGCAAAATTCCTCATTTGTGATTAAGTTAACATGAAGTATTAAAATATCTAAAACTAAAATAAATACCGCATAGACATTTTGTTTTAAACGAATAAAATTGCTAAACCAAAAATCAAAATATGAATAAAAACTATAAAAAAGTATATTAAAGTGAATCTAAAATAAAATGTGCGGAAGCCCTGAACCGCAACGTAAAAAAAAAAAAAAAAACAGAAAAAAAAAAAAACATTTCGAGATTAAAGTCGAAACCGCAACGTAAAAAAAAAATCTGTAAAAAAAAAAACCTAGCATATGCTGGTAGATTATTGGCACCTGTTGAATTTCCTTTTGTTGAAACAGAACACACACACTAACACACACAAACACACACACACAGTGTGAAACACTCGCTATGCACCATTATGAATGCCTGTGTGTGTGGCAGTGTGAAACAATGGCAAGCACACACGCAACTTCTTCGGAAGACTGTATTCTCGTAGCTACTCTCGAAATATCTCGACTTTAATCTCGAAATGCTAGATTATTATTATTTTTTTACAGAATTTTTTTTTTTTACGTTGCGGTTCAGGGCTTCCGTAAAAATAACACTGATTCATAATCTTATTTTTCTTTTTAATGATGTATTTTGAGAGAGTTGCACATGTGTCGCCGCAGAGAGTAAATATTCCTCAGTATGTCACCTATTACAATTATAGGTAAAGGTCAAAGGTCAAAGGTCGAGCGGGTTTGGACGTCACATTTCATCCCAGTGTTATTCAAAGCATGTTCATACCTTGAAATGAAAGAAGCGTTTGCCATCATATTGATCTAGTGTTGGATAAGCTCATGTTTTATGGTGTGTGTTCTCTTATCGGCGCCGGCTTTAAAGTGTCGTCAGTGTGTTCCTGATAAAACACTGATAATCAATCGGCTTTGAGGTGCAGTCCATAGTTCAGAGGTCAGACTAATGCTGACGGCTTGCTATCGCTGCATCGTTCGTGATGTGGCGAATGACACACAGATGCACACAAATCACTCATAACCCGAGGTTCCGATGTGTGTGTGTGTGTGTTGTGTATTTCCTCTGATGTTGCGTGGAGGTTTTGTCCTTGAGGATCCGTGGTTTTCCTCCTCAAAGGCTCTTTATTCTCCCGTTACGGATCATTTGCACGATCTCGACATGCTCTTGATGTGTCGAAGCGGCCACAGAAACTCTGCTCACAAGATCTTATGATGAAATATGCGTTATTTTTATTAGACTTGTGACTGGTTCATGATTTGA